GTGTTTCTATAGACAGTTATAGAAACACGCTTCTCGGCCAAGCAAAACGCGTGAGCATACTAAAAGTAAAATACAAATGGTAAAATTATGTATAATTTATACTATTACAAATAAAAATCGATTATATAGAGTTAATGCTTTCCATATTCATAAACCAATTATGTAGTGACGGATGAGTGCCAGAACAGCTGTTGACCATGCAAGGCCACTCAAGTTTGAATCACTAATTTTCCCTTCACATCCTACAGAATCCACTCTACACCGCATAGGATTCTTGCCCTTTTGAAATCATAATAGTGAATAAAATTGGTCTTAAATCCTCTACCCTAGAACATGGAACAATTTTGCATGGTGGCGAGGCTGCACATATTTGATATTTTCCAAACGTCTGGGGATTTCCTAGAAAGAAACGATTGGTTAAAACATATTTCACACTTATTGGTCGTACTTTCCTGATAAAGCTCTTAACAGATATTTGAAGCAGACGTTCTTCTATTTCAGTTTTTAAACACTCAACTGATACTTCCGGATAGCTCTTGATTAAATTCTTATTAATTGTTGTTGCCCCTAAATAATTTTACCTCGGCCATGCAAGCTTGGTAAATAAGACGATCGTTCTTAAAATATATTAATTTTAAAATACTGCGGCGAAATTTATACGCCTTTATCTATGTTCTCAAAAGATGGTGTTGGTTTTTTCAGACAGCATATTTCAGATGAAGAGAGCTATTATATTTCGCGGAGATTTTGAGGAGTGGCCTGGGAGGAGGTGGAAAACGTCTGCGTGCATGTACCTCGATCAACTTTACCTGTAATTGGCATTGAAGAGCGGTTCCGAACGTCTCCGAAGGCTTAAAATGACTAACTTCATTCTAAATAAAACTAGAAACATTGCATTCTAGAAACTAAGAAGTTGCATCCTACAAGAACTTGAGCTAAAGTTGACTGTTAACAAATTTATCTTCTAAAGCATTTATCAATTAAACTGAGCAACGGCAGTTTCAGAACTTTTATTTGAGACACATTTTATTACTGTAAAGGTTGCTTACAGTCGCTAATGTAACAAACGCCTTGTTTACACTTTCAATTACTATACTCTAAATGTCAGTTCGAGAACGACCAGAACATTTTAAACAATTTTTGTTCGTCATAGCTCTAAATGAGTATAAGCTGAGTTAATGATAGGAAATTAATACTGAAACATGTTACATTTTAGCACTTTTAAATCAAGTAGGTTACCCATTCTTATGAGCAGAACCACTGTAACCTACTAACCTTGAAGAAATATTTTGCCGCACACGAGAAATTTTCGGCTTCGCAATAATTCAATTATTGAAATTCAAGATGTAATTATATTTTATCAATTAATGGGTATTTTTTGTTCGAAAAGTTGCCATTCAGATTTTCCGCTATAGCTTGATAATTTTGGCGCGTGCGCAGACGCACGCTTTCCCCAGTATTGGGAGTGTCACTTCTCTGCAACCCCCTTCGATATGGACCTGATTTTTACTATATCCAGCTTTAGAGAATAGTGTTCATTGTCTAATTGTCACATTATTTATTCAATTATCTTTAAAAAGAGTAATTCACTTCCCTGAGGAATATTTGGTTAAACCAGCGCATGCGCAAAAATTTCCCGATAAGAACAGTTTGTAAAGTGGAAGCATTTCCCGCCTCGCGCCATTTTTAAATTTTGGATTTGACGATGAATGCACTCGTGTGCAAATATTTCAATGAAACGAAGTGTATTTGGGATAATTTCTGCGAAATAAAGTTGAATTTTTACACAGGTAAGTGTTTTAGATGCATATAAAGAGTGTAAATTATTTTGGGGAAGACATTCAAGCGAGATATTCGCAGTATTATTATTATGTTACCTGAATGGGTTCAGACGACAGTTGACATTTTATTTGGGCGCGTTCATGCCCGTTTAACTGTGCTTTTATTCGTATTGGTATCGAAGGGCATTCGTCTTTGTACTAAAGTGTTCTGAATATAATTTAAAATCAAATAAAATGCTCAGTTTTAGCCTCAAGTTATTTTACTATTTGAGCTAATATTTCTATTAAGTATTAACCGGGGGGAAGATATTTTTTATTCTTTGAAAACAATGTTTGTTTTTTTCCTGGGGTCAAATTCATGTGTGATAATTGTGTAGTCAAATTGTTAACTTGACATAAAAGTCTCTGCCTTTGGCTAATTTATATAAATGACAGTTTATAAAAGTTTGTGAGTCTTGATTTAGCAGCCAACAGCTTTGCCAACATGATCAGGCAGCAGCAAGGCCAGTGGCATAACCCCACCATTGTCTCCCCATATAATTCTTGAGACAAATAATATTTCCATCTTTTTGACATTTGTCATACTGTTTAAATTTTATATGAAAATTTTTTCATATTCAATCCAACCCAACTTTTCATCTATGTAGGGGAATGCATGAACTGGGGTCCTCTTCCTTGAAATTTAAGCATACATTAAATTTAGAAAGTTACATCAGTGTTTAACAGCTGGGAGCTTTACGTACTTATATAACAGTAGAATTCATATAATCCTTGAGTAATTTGACTGACTTTGGCTATAAGGACTTAAATAATTTGGCTGGGTCACTGTGATAGTTAGTTGGCAATAGCTGCAGACTACTGTTGCATTTTGGGGGGAAGTTCATAATAGACAATGCAATTGTTGCTCTCTGCAACATAATTTAAAATTTCAGTTAAAATTTGCCTGTATGAAGTAATATTTAAAGGTAATATATTATAATTTCAAATTTGCATATGTTTGCAATATTAGTGAAGTATAAAATCAGATAAACAATCTAATTGATGATTGGAGCAGTAGTTTTAACCTGCCAGCATGTTCACAGGTTGATTATCTGTTCCTGCATGAATAGGGTTAGGAAACTAAAGGAAGCAAAACCAACTAGTAACACAACCATCTAAAAGCAACAATTAAGTAACAAATAATTAAAAGGTGATTTTTGTTTTTAATTAGAGCATACATTCTGCAAACCAGTTGAAACATTGCATAGGGTATATAACAATGATATGTACATAGCCAGAAAATATTATACAGGAAGCATTAAAAGTTTATACTTGGTATGGAATTATTTTCCATATATGTTCAAAATCAGTGCGAAATCATTTTTAAATTTATTACTCATGCAAAAGTTCATGAAATCCTAAAATATGCTGCTGTTCTCATGATATATTTTGTACTGTTAAGTAATATGGTACATTAATTAAAATAGATTAAGATTAAAATATTCTAATATGCTCAGGATTAAATTTCATTTAATTTTCTTTTGACAATTTGAAGAATTAATATCAAAGCCCAACATAGTGTTTTAAAAATACATTCAACACATGTTTAACAATTTAAAGTACAAAAATCTCTTGTGACATATTTAAGTTATTATGCATGTTATTTATGAATATATTTCTCTAAGTTTGAAAGTACCAATGTAATGGTTTAATCCAAGAATAGCATTTTTTGACCAAAATATATTCCATGGCTATTGAAACAATTTTTTTACAAAATAAGGAAGGAATCAAAATATTTTATTTTAGTCTTTTTGTTACTAATATTTTAGATTTCAATGTGATTTCACTGATATTGTATTTTTTATTATTTGCCTGAGTTCCTTTAGTGTCCTGTATTGGCTCTTTATAGCTAAGTATTACCTAACTAGAGTATATAGCTAATAGTTGATGAATTTAAAAAGAATTCCTTCTTTTCTTAAACTGTTCCTTACGGGTATTTATAATGCAAATATTAATGTAGATAATCTTTTCAGTGCTACTCTTTCAAATTGTTCCTAATTAACATTGCCTCCCCTCCCCCCCCCCCTCAATATCAAGTGAGAGAAATTAAATGAAGCATAACAACTGATGTTTAACAGTAGCAAAACAAAGTATATACTATATGTCTGCCTGTGATTCTTTCTTTTAATTTGAAAGCTTACCCACTATTTTGCATTGTGCAATGGCACATATATATGACACATACCATTCATACCATACACAGTAATTAATGGGTATTCCTGTTCTGCCTGGATTGTTTGTATTTTGTAAACAAAACATGTCAAACAGTAGTTATTTCTTTTGATTTTGAAACACCTTGTAGTTGTAAAACTTGTACATAAACTGTACAATATATTGTGATCTTTGTAATTTTTGGGCACATTTTGTTAGTATAAGGCTGTTGATAAGGCTATTTATAGCCAGTTAGATCCAAGATGGATTTCTTTTTATCTCCATATCACTACTATTGGGTGTTTAAAGCTGTATTAATTAATCGGATAGTTTGAATACTTATATAGGTCCCTTTTTATGTGTATGTTATTTTTTTGTGTACCTATTTTTGTAATCAGATATGCAAATTTTATTGACCCAGTTGTTAATGACATTTTTAAATTCATATAAAATATAAGCTATATTCATTAGCTGATAACATCATCCTGCTTTTTGACTGTATGTTAACCTAAAGGTAGCTTGAACAACTCCTGCAATATTATTAGAAAGACTACAGTCACATTTCCCCTTTGATTTACGTAGAAAATCGTGTTATAGATGCTTAGTTGCATGGGCCATGATCCTCTTGAATGTCACTTAAGCATGTTAGACCCTTAGCTAAGTGTTGTGTCATTTTTAGGAAATGGTAAAATAGAGTCAAAGCATTTCAATGACATAAAAAGGGCTGATAGGCTTTACTATACGTATGGTTATTTCATGTGTAAGTAGCCAGTCAAACCTGGATTTTACATACAAGTACAGTATGAACATACATATATATTATTCTTTGACATTCCTCTGTATGACGACTGTGTGTAACTTTTTAGATGGATGCAACTGTCTCAAAAATTCCAGAAAAGGAAGAATATGAACAATGTAGAGAATATTGTGAAGGAAATATTGCAATCTTTTATTGTCCCCAATGCTTGACCAACTTCTGTGCAGAATGCTATGACAAAGAACATAAACTAAAAAGAAGAAAGAAAACCACGGTAAAGTCTCTACACCTCGTAAAGTATGTCGAGAACATCACCTCACACTGGAATATCAAAACAAATCGCGATTCATGTGCTGTATGTGTGTCAAAGAACTTCCACCAGGCGAATTAGCTAGAAATAGCATTGAACCTATAGATGGAGTTGCATCTGTTCTTAAGGAAAGGCTTGATAACAGAATTAGAGAATTGGATTTGGTTTCACAGTCAATTCACAAGAGAATTGAAGCGAGTGATGAGAGCATTAGCTCTGCTGTGGAATGTGCAAGATCTGAAGTGCGAAGGTTTTTTACTGCCCTTAACTTGCTTCTGAATAAACAAGAAGAATCGTTTCAACATCAGCTTACGTCGTTATTGCATACGACGACATCGCGACCAATTTTTAATGAAATGCGAGAAACTTCAGAAGCTATTGATGAACTTGTTGAAAAAGGTCAGTTTTAAACTTTCTTTAATAATATATAGTGGAAAGATATTTTGGGTAAACTTTAAGAAGTAAATTAAAACGGGGCTAAGGCAAGAATGATTCATACAGAAGGTATTGTTGTGTTGATTTTACCAGTGAGTGTGGTTTTTCTTAATATGGTTGTTTAGATAATCTTGTTAATTGTTTAATTGCATTGAAAAGCATGTTGATCTGGCAAAAAATTTCTATTTGCAATTGTTTATATACACGTTAATTTTAGGGAAAGGATTATTGTGTGAAGATAATCTTGTTGTTTCCAAAAAGTTTGATCATATCTCCAGAGTAATCGATGAGTTACTCCTTAGTGACAACGTTAATAAATTTCCATCACCTACGTTACAAGTATCTATTAATGTTCATCGACATCTTCTGGAAATGGTCAGACATCCTGGGTATATATCCACCACCTTTGATGAATGTAGAGGTATGTGGAGTGTGAGAAAGTTGCGATTATTGCAATACAATTGATAATAGTGCACTAATGGTAATATTACTGCTGTAATAAATGGATTATATGTACGCAGATTATAGGCTACGTACAACTATTTTTAAATCATTACAATATTTTACAAGAGTAGTGGGCGAATACATACGCGTGGAGGATAAAAAACAACCTATCCACTGGTGCGATATTAGTGAAAATATAACGGTTAGTGATGTGATGAGATCTCTGCAAAGCAAAGTTTTGTATATAACTAGGTCAAAAGGAGTTAGCCCTATAGGGCTATGCATTCGTTTAGAGTGCATCTCCTTCAGGAATACCATTAAAAGAGGCTTTTGATTTAAAACTAGTTTACCTCCATATGAAAGTCGTTCACTCCAATTAGAATAACATCTTTCTCTGTTTATCATAAAAAAACTTTGACATCCTTGAGCACTTGTTGAAATGTGTTGGTGAAATCGTTTCGTTTACACTTTATGTAAATAATTGCCTCTAAAGCAGAAAATCCCTCTAGGTAGCTCAAACAGTTGAGCATTGTTGGCTTTGGCGTCTGTATCCAGTGCCACACATGTAGCACTTTTTTTCATGTGAGCAATGGGCTTTAACTGATATCAGAATCATACTTCATTATAATGATGAGGTTTTCCTGGTTCCCAAGGGCGAAGAGTGTAAGAATTCCAGTTCTGTATGTATCTCCAGTACGTGTCAATTTCTCTAAGCTGTTGTTTCTCAGACCTAATGAAACATATTTATCATTTCTTTCTGTATTTTTATACAATCATTGACATTTTGAGCTATCCATGGGCGTACTGAGGTCTTTGAATGTTCCACAGGCATCTGTTGAAACATTTTCTTCCTGTCTGTCTGAAGTAGTCAATGCAATTTATGTGTTCAGGGCTTCGTCATAAGCAAACCAACGTCTGTAGAACTTTGCAGTATATTAAACACAGGATTAATTGTTGGATACAATCACCTTACACCTGTATCCTTCCACTGATCAATTTTAAATTGCAAATCAAGCAATTAAGCAACTGGTTAGATAATTTGAAGACTTCTCTAGATTTGATTTTTTTTGTGGAACCATCATACTTGTTTCCTGCTGTGAATATATATATAAGAACTCTCACAGAACAAAAAATTAATAGTCATTTTGCGTTTCACTAGTCTGTCATGAAATTCCCAATTGCAATATCCGCATGCCGCTGCGTTTTCGGCATTTCATACAAAGAAAACGATTAGGCGATGGAATGTATACTCATGAATCGCGCTTTTAAAGCAATATGAAGTCGACGGCAAGATTCTTTAATCCGAATTTCAGGCAAATGTAAATTGACGTTGACAGTGACTTCAAAATTGAGTTTTGCATATTTTTTTCAAATCGTTTGAAATCACATGTCTTGTTTTTGTTTTCCAAAACAAGTTTTGAAATTATGGTTCTCTTCAAGCATCAAGAAATGTTGTTTACAAAAGTGAACAGAAGCCAAACAAATTTGATGAAAGTGTTGAAGAGAATTTTGATGCAAAGGAAAAAGATGATGTTGGGGAAACATTTCCTACTCCACCTCAAGTCTCTATTTGTTCTCCGCCAATTAGTGTAACAGGAGAAGACGATGAAACCCCGTATCCGCTGATGCCTCGATTTTCTCGAAATTCTAGTCCAATGTTGTCCAGTCCGGAAGAGGTGGGCGAAGAATTTCTGTGTTTATGTCATTGTTTTAGTATTTGTTTTCTTTTTCTTGTTTTGACAAATTTTTAAACTGTTAAACGCCCATGGTGACAAGCTAAAACTGTCTTTTTTTCTTTCAATTGTAAGGACATGACTTTACGACCATTGGCTGTTAATAATGTCAACAACGAGAACGAACAGAAAGGAGTATGTTCTTGTCGTTCTAACGAGTCACTTGATTCAGAAACTCCGAGAAATACAAAAGATGCAAAGGATTTAAACCAGAAGACAGATGGCAATCATGGTAAGATAAAGAGCAAGCTGAAAAATTAGCTTAAACAACCGTGGGAATCAAGTCAGCGACCTTTTGGTTTGCTATAGTCCCAATTCTCTTTTTTTGGACAATCGCCGACAATCGTTTTTTTGGCCAAATTTCAAAGATGCATTGTCTAGTCTATATATCTATATATACATCTATGATGAGCAACATTCAATATTTAAAAGCACAAGCAAGACCAAACCATCTGATCTCTACACAAAACGATTTTCATTCTGATTTATCTGCTTAAGTATAAGATAATAATAAATTCATGTTCTAGAAAGACAGATCGCCTTAAAAAAAACTTGATGTAAGATTTGTATTAATTCGAGTAATATCTTTGTCTACCTTTCTCGGTTTATCATAAAAAAAACTTTGATATCCTTCAGCGCTTGTGCAAAAGAGTTGGTGAAATCGTGAATGGCTTTTTATGTGAAACTGCGTGTGATGTTTTTAGATCCAAGCAGTAAATGTAAGGAAAACAAAAGTGTTAAGAGGAAACTTTCCGAAAAGAGCCTCTTACTTCCTTTTCCAAGAAAATCAAGACGCACTGAGGCGTCGAAAGAATTGAATGTGAGTATCATTCCTTGTTTGTGACGAACTTTACGAACAGTGGCAAGCCCACCAAAGGGGTATAATTTTTGTAGTTTTGTTGATCAAGTAAAAAATGATATTGCTTTTTGGAGCTACTATTGTCTTGTGTGTGTTGTAGTTACTCCTTAGCTTCTCGACATAACGGAGTTAGGAATTATTAATGTAAATAAAGTTCTTATTGTTTCACTGTTTTTATTTCAGCTGTGTGACAAGTTATTAACCGAACTGTGGGTCTCAGATGATTCATTCCCGTTTGCTAGACCAGTTGACCCTAAAAAGGTGAAAAATGTCTATTATAGTGTTTGATCTAAGGCATCAGAGACAACTGTGGTGGGTGCAACTTTACTACAGTAACTCCTGCTGCATAATGCACACCCATGCTGCAGCATAATGTAAACTTATGTTCTTTTACTTCTCGTGAAGGCGTTATTAGTCACGCGAGATCCTCTGGAAATATTTCGTACGGTAGTCTTCATAATTATAAGGATATCTTCATTTTAAAATCGTTTGTATGGTTTTATGGAACCGCACGCGACTTCAATATTTAGTACAACATTTTCTAGACAGCATGATTACTTTGTAACTGTAATACCGGGTTCAATAGCGACCTTACGCATGTAGGACGCGAACGCGACGACGACGGCTATCAATAGTCAATACAATTGGTCATTGAAAAGAAATGAATAATTAAAGACCCATGATGGGTTTTAGACGCCTTCTTCGTTCTGTTTACAACGGGAAAACGTCGTTTTTTACGTCTTGCCTAGAACGGTTGCATTTCAAGACCCAGCGAGCCCTACCTCGAATTAGGCTCTATAGAATTGTCCTTAAACACAGGCACAATGTTTTTAACGCCTTTATATCTCACTAAATCGGTAAAATTAATAATATACAACAACCACTTTGCCAAAGCATTTATTTAAACGAGAATTTCAGCCGCGTCATCGTCGTGTTGCCGTCCTATATGCTTAAAATCCCTAATGTTTCCTAAAACGGGGTGGAAAGAAAACCTGCATTCAACTTAAAGATAACCATGCAGAGGTAGCGGGCATGTTTTTTTTTTAACTCTTTCTGATTTTTTTATATTTTAGGTCCCTAAATATTACGAAATAATAAAAAATCCAATTGATTTGACGGCCATCAAGACGAAATTACAAACTATAAACTATGATTCAGTGTATGATTTTGTTGACGATATGAAATTGTTATTTGATAACTGTTATCTTTTTAATCCGGTAAGTTTTAAATCCAAAGAGTTTATTAGATTAGATTAAGTTAGATATATAAGATAAGATTTACGTAGAATACTTCATGCAGATTGCCAACGTTTTTGTAAGCCAAGACGAAGGTTTTTATAATTTATGTAATTTTGGTGACGGTAATAATTTTACAAATGTTCTGAACTGAACTGCTCAAAAATCAGTTTCCAGCTATTATGAACATCTATGATTGGCATGTAATTTTTAAACTCAGAATACTTTAAAAATTGAGCAGTTTTTTACTACTTTAACACAGTATTATCTTAGTTTATATACTTCCTGTGAACTCTGCATGCTTGTGCTTATTTGTCGCTTTTCTTTTTTTAGCAAAATACGTCCATATATCAAAATGGTGTGAATTTGGAAAAACAATTTATGACCTTGCTGCGAGCAAATTTCCCCACGCTTTACTATCAATCATCAATTCCCGAAAATAATGTGTAAACTTTTTAAATATTGTTGAAGATACCTCTTTGAAGTGCTGGAAATAAAGTTATCTAACTGTGGTTGTAATAGATTTGCATGGATATATTTGTGTAATAGTCGATGGATAGTCGATCAAGACATCGCCTGGAAACTCGTCTAGAGTCATGATCTCGATAAAGCACTAAAACAGTATTTACGAATTACGGGGAGATTAACCCATGGACAGACAGTTGTGTCGTGGCCATTTTTTTTCCGCAAGCAATCGAAAGCATCCTTATAACGTCACGGAAAACGGGCTTTATCTTGTCTTGCATGCAGGCACACGCACGTGTTAAACGCCGGATTTGAAAAGCGCGATATATTCCGCAAAGACGCCGCAAATATTGTTTTATTATTTGAGGGCAACACAATGAGATCCCGACCCCCGGCCTAAAGTGTGTAACTAATTTAGTTACACATTTCCGCACGTAATACAAAAGTATACAAAATTTGCCAACTTAGAAGTTTGCATGACTATATATCTTCCGCATTTTACAAAATTTTGAACACGACGACGACGTGGTTGGAATACTCCTTTAAATAAATGTTATGATAAAAGGTTTTTGTATATTGTCAACTGTACCAATTTAATGAGATATAAGACGTTGAACACATTTTGTTTACATTTAGGGACAATTCTATAGGGCTTAATTCGAGGTAGCCCTCACTAGGTCCTGAACATAGACGTTCTATACATAGGACGTAATAAACGACGTTTTGTCGTTGTAAACAGAACGTAGATCACGTCTAAAACTCCTATAGGTATTTAATAATTCACTTCTTTTCAATGAAGCATTGTATTGATAGCTGCCGTCGTCGAGTTCCAATCCTACATATAGTACATGCTTAAGATCCCTATTATGCGTTGGCGAGTACTGTATTTAGGACAAATGCATTGTCCAGTTGGGTTTTTGCATCGGTTCTGCCCGTGAATACTCTTGTACAAAGACTAGAGTCATATTTATCTTGTCATATTCATCATAGAGAACAAATGTGTGAGATACGCAGACAGCTCGTATTAAAAAAATAATAGTTCAGAATGTAAAGAAAGCGTTCGTTTGATAGTATCCTTAAGTAATAGTACGATTGAAATTTACTATCGTTGCTGGCTCCGTTTTGTAGAATGTTTAATCAACAGGGCCCGGTTGTATGAAAGCCGGATAGCGCTATCACCGGATAGTGGTTTTTTAAATAGCTTTAAAATCACCCGTTGTTTGCTATAACTTTGATTAAATCTTTGTATTCCTAAATTGAGGATCCTTTTCAACAATTGCTGGTTCCAACACTGAAATTTTATTGCTCTCTAAGCATTTTTAGAACGGTTGAAAAAATCACTATCCGATGGATAGCGCTATCCGGCTTTCATACAACCGGCCCCAGTATACCAAACAACAGCAATATTTTTACCGAAAGTTTTTACCCTGGTTGGCGAAGCTGGCGAGCAGAATGATGAATTAATTTCTGATGCCGAAGGCAGTCAGGCATGCATATAGTTGTTCCGCGAGAGTTTTTTTGATATTTGATCTGTGTTTTTATCGAATGCACGCTCAGACTAAGAATAGTAAAAAAAGTAAATCATAACATTACAAATATAAACAAAAGTTTATCAAATCACGAGATTTGTGGTTTATCCACGCCACGCTATTAGACGTTTATTTGCAGAGCGCAGTGAGCGCACGAAATAACTCACTGATTCGCTATATATTGTTTCTGTCAAGCAACAATTATCTATCATACGAGGTCATTCAGAGTTTGTTTCGTACATGCACTCATATCCAAATTATTTCTATCCCACGTCACCGTATAAGATTGCATAGCGTGCGAGACCATACGTCGTTCATAGCTCGCTGTATAAACCAGGCCTTGCATGAGAAACGCCGCCTTACAATCACAAAGCCGTAAACCCATTATAAAGTGTGATTTCCCTCGACATGCCAGGAAAGTCTGGAAGTTCTCAACATTGTTCTCACGGAATTATGAAACTGCAAAACAAATCGTTAGAGGAGAGAAAAGTGTTGTCTTTCATCTATCTACAACTCTGCATGCCTGGACTTGAGACTCAATAGTTCAGAGGGATGAGCGAGTCGTGATATTGGAAAGGAAACGGAAAATCGAGCTGTTCGGAATTGGTAGGAGGTACTCTGGTTTATGTAGTTAATTATAGGAGAGCTTATAAACGCTAAATTATGTACAGGCTGGCTGTATGGATTACACTTCACAAACAATGATTCGTGCGCAAAATCGCACCGGATGTGATGCGACACCGGGGTTTTCCAGGGAGGTTTTAATCAGGAACTGGCATGCCATGATCAGCAGCACACATAAATTCACACACTATCACGCATTAGTTTTGAACAACCACAGATAAAAATATTAAAAAAGCATTTCCCATGCATGTGCAATGATTTGTACTTACGCGTTTTACTTTTACCTTAACCTTTTACCTTTTAAAATACCTTTAGGGCAGGCGTTTAACAATGCACAAACCACACAATATCGTATAACATATTAATTAAGGGAAGCGTTTTAAATTTAGTTAGGGTGTGACACGCGAGAAGCGCGCGGAGGGGGGGCAGCATTCCCGATATTATATGCATTTGGATGCAAATGATGTGTCCTTTAGCTGACTTTGTTCGGAGAACATTCATTGCATTACACATTGTTTTTGATTATATTAAAAAAATGAAATTGAATCTTCAGTCTTTCTAGGTCAGTTTTGTATTGAATTATATGAATTATATTTAATATTTAATAATGCATGTACAATATTGGGCGCCAAGTATACAGCAAAATTATTTTTCACTGAATTTCTGCTAAAAAGCGCCTATCTTAGGTTTTAGATGAGGGTAAATTAATTATGATTTTTTGCACTTCACTCGATGTAGGGAAATTCTAGAGGTTTAAGGGTCTTAATTTCGAGTGGAATCATACACACACTTCAAATTCAAGCCAGGAACAGTTGATGGAAAAACTAGTCTAAAAACTATAGGTCCTCCGGCAGGAATCGAACCTACGCTTTTGCGATGCCGGTGCAATGCTCTTGCCACTGAGCTACAAAGGTATAAAAAGAGCAAGCGTGGTTAATGTGTTTATGATGGTAATGCCGGGGATAAGTGAGGGTAAATCAATTATGATTTTTGACACTTCACTCGATGCAGGAAAGGGTCATTAGCATCATATACTCATTAACCACGCTTGCTCTTGTCAGCGCTACCTCTTAGTTGATTAGTTTTTCCATCAGCTGTTCCTGCATGGCTTAAATTTGAAGTGTGTATATCTTAGGTTTTAGTCTATGAAACAATTCGTGTGGTTTTTCTCACATTCTTATGCTCTAAATCACAAGTTTGACTCACAAATATATAAAACTGATTGAATACAGACATCTAAAAGATTAAGGCTAAAAGATTAAAATCTTCTTCGCTGTTATATAATTAATTTTATTATATGACAAGCGTTTGTTTTGGTTTACCATGCAATTTGATTTGTTGCTGACAGGTCCGCGCGCAATACGCGCAATTCTTATTGCCCTGTGAAAAACACAGCAAAACGAAAACGGCGAAAACAATAAATTTCGGCTAATTGTATGTGCATAAAATAAAATTAACGAGATGACTAATGAGGAGCATTCTGAAAGCGAGTTTTTATTTTCCTGAAATGTAACGAATATAATGTTTCTGTTGGACCGTTGCCAGTTCATCGACAAAATATTTCAAATCATTTTAAATCTGGCTTTAATCACAATTAATACGGAACTTTTAGTTTTAAGCCAGATAAAGCCTGAACTAAAGTTTTATGATTTGTTCATGTCGTTCGATCTTCATTAATATTAAATAATTTATGATGTTGTGTTTATATTTTACACTAAAATAAAGTGCTTTTTTTCCCTTTTGTTCGCCACTGTCGTCAGGCCGGCTCCAGAAGTAATTAAATCTGAATGTTTCGGTTGCGTGTGCTCGGATGTGATGAAAAAATTAATCATTACAATATACGCATGGATTATGCCATATAATAAAAAACTTACCAACTTTGACTGCATGTTCGGTCTATACGGAAAGATATACATGCTCAGTTAGTAGGCTAAGTATAGTTATTATTGCACACCAAATCATCAACAGAATCCAATCCTATGCATCCATTCCATCGTTGATTTCATAAGTATTGTTTAAACTATTTTAAACTTTTACGTGCGTGACGTAGGTACAAAAAACGCGACAGTGGGAAACAGGGGCTGTTTACATGAGCTCGGTTACTCGAGCTCGAGGTATCGAAATAAATCTTTATGACACCAAACAAGCACACATGCTTGTTCTGGTGATTATACGACTGTCAGGATCATGTTATCTGCTCATTTCACTACCTCAAAATTATATCACGCTTCGTTGAATCTCGGGTAACTGGGCTCATGTGAACAGCCCTTGGTTACAATCAGATTGAGAATAATTTGCACAATTATCCTCTCGCACGAAATCACCAACAAACTCACTAGACACTAGGAGGCTCTAAAATTTGACTTGGCCTTGAAATTATTTGTCATTCTATTACATTTCTGCGTTTTTAATTTTTTTTAATTTTATAAGAAACACGAAAATTTTTAACACGCAAATATTTTTACACCGCCGCCTGTGATCTGTGACAACCTGAGATAGGAAATCAATTAAAATGTTTGTATATAATTACTTGATGACAGGATAACACACGTAATCAAATCACTCGTTCTGCCTCTTCGCTACAAATTTTCCTTAATCTGGGATAACCAGTCACACATATCTCAACATGCAGCGAAGTAACATGATTCAGTTTCTCTTCCCATTTATCTTGGCCATCTTAAGGTAAGTAGCCAAATATTAGTAGAAATTGTATAAGTTAATATACTCTTTCAGGTGTAAAAAGGCGTTCATTAGGGGCGCCCAAATAGACTCCCTGTTATGCGTGCGAAAATGTTTGTTAAAGAGATCTGAGGTGGGCGGCCCGAGCCATCATAAATGCCTCGTGTATTTTGAAGTCATGAAAAATCTATCTTAAGGGGAAGAATATTGCTGTAACTGAACGGCATGACATGCTGTTAAATTTTGAGTGACTGAGAAACTGCATTTTCAATCATGGCTTCACCGTGGCAACAAATTCAATTATCACTAAGAGGGCCATATGTTGAAATGAAAATATATTTTTCTTCAAAATTATACCTTGCGTTTCACTGAACAGGTCAGTGCATGTATTGCTTACTCTATGAAATTGAAGTATTCTTTAGTAGTAATACGAGAAAGTAATCTAATTCGGTGTATAAGCCAGAGACGGCGACATGGAATGAATTGAATTCCATGCATAATACATCATTACGTTACCATAGGACTTAAGGCCCCGTTTACACTACACTCGATTTATTGGCACGGCACGGCTAAGATGGGTACCCGTACCAATTATAGCTATGCTGCGACGATAAATTGAGTGTAGTGTAAACGGGGCTCTATACTTTATACGGTTAAAGCAAACTTAGGGATTTAAACAATGTGATTATAATCGGTCTGGGCCTTGTGGATTAATGAAATTTGAACTTTATAATATTGCTGTCGGCTGTATTGCAACATATTTTGAAATATATATGCATACGGATAGGGCAACTGCTCTCCCAGAAGATTTTAAATGTATAGAAAAGTTGGGCAGATTTGTAGCGAATTCAACCAAAATTTGGGCCGTTTTTTGCTGCAATAAGTCTAAAGTGATCAAGTCGATTTGTACACTTATTATAATCATATTACCCGTGTCTAAAAGATTTCTTTCACTAGTCAGCCATTTAACTTGTCAAGCTATTTTGTTTACTGACGTTTGATAAAGACCAGGATATAACCATGCATTAATTATCATGGGGTGGTGCAGTTGGGTATATTCAATATAATTCAATTTGCAATATAACCAGGGTGAAGCGTCTGATCTCGTTTCTGAATAGACTTCCGTCATTGCGGGCTATTCTTAACTCACAATCAGGCGTCTCTCTGATTTTTTTTGTTTTCTATTGGCCCATTTTTATCACATGTTTTGCCTCCATACAAAACCATTATTCTCCTCTATTTATTTTCATACTAACTCTCCTCACGAAGGCCCTCAGGTCGAAACGTCTAGAAGTGTTTTGTCCATTTTAGACAGCTGTTATACCACATTTGATGCTAATTCAATTTGCATGCAAACCAGAAAACAGTCTGTATTTTTTAGAAACAAAATGCTTTTATTTTCGTAAAACACCGTGGCATTGCAAGTCTAAACTTTAGCAACTAATTGAGCAAACCTAAATTACAACTCGGCACAAATTTGGCCAGTCCCGCCCTTGTAGTGACACCTTACAATTCAATTTTGTTGCAAGAAAATTATTTTCTTTAGCGTGGATGCTGTATATTTTGAAGATGGAGAACTGTGTATGGTAAAAAGAAACTTTACTGTAGCCACCTGTGGTCTCAAACCAGAGATTGTCGCTATCAAGAATGCGCTGTCGAGAATGGAGAATGAAATTTCAAGTTTAGGAAGTGAATTAAGACAAGTTAAAAAAACCTGTGGTAGTTGTGTTCATCGGGAAGGTATCAAATTAACAACATTAATATTTCATCTAGAAAGTAGTAAGACACAACTAATGCATTTCTTGTGCATGCATGTGCTCTTGGAATGCCGTATGACTCGAAATTTTGGGCTCTCGTTTTTGAATAAGCCCAGTGCTCTTTATTTAATAAGCCTTCTATACTTTATACTGCATGACAGGTTTTCCAGCTTGTGAATTTTTGAATGAGAATAAATCTAAAGTGCGCATTGTGGGGGTAGGTTCGCATTGTGGGGGTAGGTTCGCATTTTGGGGGTAGGTGCGCATTGTAGGAGGTGAGTGCGCAATATGGGGGTAAGTGCGCATTGTGGGATGAGTGCGCATTGCATTAGCAAGTAAATAAGGTTAATTATGTTAACACGAAGGTCAACAGGTTATTATGATTATGTTTATACAAGCGGTCAATTAAATGTCTGTCCAAAACCTTATTACCATGAACCACTGTATTTAAGTATTTTTTCAACGGCTGCTTTTAATTATTGCTCAGTGGATACAGAGTATGGAAATCTTAGATCAATATTTGTTCTTTCACATTCTATCCCAGACCCGGCAGGAAGGTTCATATTTTCATATTTTCCTCTAATTCCGACTTATTTCCTTCGAAAGGAATTGTTTTACGGTGTGAGAACTTGAATATCTAAATGAATAGTAACTCTTAAAATTTTCATTATACGTATTTCTGTATTTCGACTGCACAGAACTTTATGAAGTGGCTTTTACGTTACGTAATAGGCAATTTAAATAATGAAGTTTTACTATTCTACGTAGATCGTAATTATAGTTAAATATTCTAAATTCTTTGGATGCTCCCCAAATAAGCGCTATCACGAGAAACAGGAATTTTTGTATGGCCTAAATTATTGAACTATATATGCGTATAAGAAGATTTGTGAGTTGCATTTCAGGATTTAATAGAGGAGCTTCCGAGCTAGTCTACGAAGAAATCAATGGAACGAAAAACTATTTGCACGACCAGAGCGTGCGATGGAAACGTTATTTGTAATGCAACTTGATGAATACCCCAAATACGTAGACTTATTCTTCATTTTAGCAAGAAGTTGTGCTGACAACCTTTATCTTGGAGCAACTGAGGACGGACTTTACTACATTGATCCAGATGGCAACGGAAAATTCAAGGTATTTTGTGACATGACAACATCAGGTGGAGGATGGACTGTATTTCAACGTCGTCTTGATGGAAGTGTCGACTTCTACAGAGGATGGCAAGATTACAAGACAGGTTTTGGCACCTTGTACGGTGAACATTGGCTTGGTCTCGAAAAAATTCACAGAATAACAAAAAGCCAAAAGCATGAACTTCGGATTGAACTAGAAGATTTTTCTGGAAACACCCGTTTTGCCCAATATACCAATGTTTCAATTTCTAATGAAAGTGACAAATATCGAATAAATCTCGGAGTATATTCAGGTATGTTTGAAATTAATATTCTTGTATGTTTGCATGGTGACATCAATGATTAAATTAGGTACACCACGTAAGTATTAAATAGAGAGTTTACGATTCACGACGCGGCCAGCTCGACGACGCGCTTTCAAAACAAAGAAACTCCACACGTGAGAAAATAAGTATGTATAATTTGTGGTCCGATGACAGTGTTGCGATCCCAGCGACGCCTTGAAATAAGACACGGCTTCTCGACGGCATGAAAAGTATTCTTTTATAAACTAATTTCAAGCGTAATTAAATTAGCTTGTAGGTACACCGCGTAAGTATTAAATACTGCAAAGCTTTCAGTCCGGTAACCCGTTCCTTCATCAGTGCAATTATCTGAATACACATCTACACGTCACTTAAATATAAATGTATATTCAGGTAAGTGCACTGATGAAGGCCCAGGGAGTTTACGATCTACCACGCGGTTAGCTCGACGACGCGCTAGTCGATTACTTTGCTAAAAAAAGGCTGCAAGAAATTAGTTATACTGCCAGGACTTTGAAATAATCATACAAACGTTTCAATTGTGCTAAGAACTCCGATGTCTAGCTGATATCGCAGTTTCATACTACCAAAGAGCTATCACCTTGCCGCTGCTATTCATTCGGCATAAAATGAAGTAAGGGTTTAATAATTTTCCTTACTATAAGCTTTCTCCATGGTGACGTTAAAAGCGGTAGTCCGATGTGAGCCAAAGTTAGATTGTTATGACGTCATCATGGGAAAGACTTATTGAATAATAATTTATATTCGCGACAGAGAAACATAACAAATTCGCATATCGCGCCCAGCCACCCTTTTGCGAGAACAAAATTCATGCAAAATATATACCTTAAATTAGTTTTAAATTTTACAAAATATATTATTGATCGTATCACGATCAATCTTAAGCAAGTATTTGTATTCATTTATATATTGCGGTCTGTCACGCACGTGCATGTATACTGTGTTAACAGACGAAAAATTGTTGCCAACATAGTTCAAGCAGACGAGGCTATTTAGGTTTTCTGAACAGAAACTCAAAATATTTTGTTTATGTTTCTCACAGGTAATGCTGGTGGCAATGCTCTAAGGTTGCATGAAAACATGGCTTTTACAACCAAAGATTCTGACAACGACTTATTCAATGAGAATTGCGCTGTTAAATTCAAAGGTGCTTGGTGGTACAATAAATGTCATCATTCAAACCTGAATGGAGATTATCACCAAAGTGCTCTTGTCCAGTATGGGAATGGTATTATCTGGTATGAATGGAAAGGGTATTATTTCTCTCTCAAACACGTTTCAATGAAAATTAGAGCTGTGTAACAGAAGGAGAGGAAACTGTGTAGAACTATTGTTTCATTGTCATAATACATGCAAATACTTTGATTTTTTCTGTCTTGTATCTGTCTTGAATTATCTTTACCAATAAAACCAATGTACTTTTAGATAGTTACTGTATATTTTCATCTTAAATCGGCTTGTCTCATTTTTGGTACACCTGCATAATGCGAAATCTAAGCTCAAACTTGTTCTCAGTTGCATAGGAATCAGGTCAGGTGGACTAGAACCGTAAGGCTTGAACACCCGCAATGTTTTTGCCCTCAGTGATGTGATTTTTCTCAATCACTTTGGGGGAGATCCCACATATAATCCTGCCAGCTCCATTGCACTAACCCCCCCCTGACAGTCGGTAGAACTACTCCCTTCTCTTGCCCGAATTTAAGGTATGCGATGTCAGTATCGTAAAGTTTCAAACGTTGGAAAAACATTAGGAGGATAAGAATTCTAACGTCATATTGTTTTGAATTAGGTAAACTCTGTTGTTAGACACAATTATTTGTTGCTAGACACTCTTATGAAATTATTTTGATCCAATTATTTTTCTTTGATATTTAACTCGCGATGCGGTGGAGCGCGCTATTGCACTGAGCTCTGCATACAGAGTCTAACTTGTAGTAAACATGTACATTTGGCTTATCTGAGTTTTTCGTGCAGCTATAGTTATACTGGTACATGCATTCTGTATAAAATACTTTTATTAATCTTAACGTTTCATCGACATGAAACAAATTAAAAATTGCTGGTGTGAAAGTTAAGACTCTAGCGAAGATTACGATATAAATATTCTAGGAATAGAACATTTAATACTGTGCATTAGGCAAAAATAGCAAATCGTAGCTGTTTTCTTAAAATCTTTTAAAACCATTACCAATTTGTTAAAATACAAGAAAGTTGGCACTTGTTTGTGAGTTTGTGAATGACTGAAAGCCGCTCCAATATATGAATTTGGAGATCATAGAGATCGGTTTGTGTAAAATAACTAAGTTGCTACGTATTTTTACGTCTCGGAGAAAAAGCGACCTAATCCATGCTGTTTTGCGTGACCAAGGCTTAAAACTGTCAAAACGGGTGTACTGACCCGTGACTTCCGGAAAAATCTATGCCTCAGGTGGAAATTTTTAAGTCTAAGAAATGAATTTTTTCATTCTGAAAATTGTCTGCCTGAACCTTAGATTCAGTCCAAGCAGTTAAATTTATTCCGAAGAACAAAGGAATGTCTTCCGCCCTAATCAATACGAAAGTTTCTGTCGTCAACATACCGACGATAAAATTAAATTTTATGTTTCTATTTTCTATAACAAATCACCTACAATGACTTTCTCGAATTCAGTGAGCTGTACATGTATAATATTCGCTAGTACCGGAGCTAAATTAGTTAGAACCCATAGAAACGCCGTCTGATTGCTCATAGAAATTATTATCAAACGAAAAAGATGTTTTGATCGTTTCGTCTCATTTGATGTGCAATCACTTTTTACTATAATGTCCCGTTGAAACGAACCATTGATATAATACTAAAACGTGTTTTTGAAGATAAGTTGATTGACACCACGCTTTCTCAACACACGTTAAAAAGCTTTTGTTAGATTGCGCCACCAAAACATCCTTCTCTTTTTAATAAATATAATTTTCCATTACATTCATGCAGTTTTGCATTAGAATTACCTGATTGATATTCTGTTTGCAAAAACCTTTTCAAGGACAAGGACATTAGTAACGCGGGCCCAAGCACTTACGGAAATAGAGACAACCTGTTCTAACCTGTTTCTCTGACAAACCCGTGGTCACGGTGAATGACTTCAAACATTGAAATTTTACTATTTCGGAGCGTGATACACTTGGAATGTTGTCACATACTTAAGGTACGTCTCCCATTTTCACTTTTCTGATACAATCTATTTAGCTAGTAAAACTTGTATCTTCCACATTATTTTTTTGCCAGAGTTTACTGCATGCAAAGTTTCACCATACTAAGTACAGGATATGCCCGTAAAGTATCAAAATTTTCTTTGCGAAGTAATGTGCACGATTTTGAAAGTCTGTTTCAGGTTCCAAAATTTCCAATAACGCTTCGAAAAACCTTGTAAAAGCTTCGAAAAACCTGAATATTGTATCATATATATCCGTTTAAAATTCAAACAACTAATGGATCGAGCTTACTATATTGTATTAGCTAAGTTGGAATATTTTTGTTTCCGTACTTCACCTAGTCTCAGTGCATTTCAACATATTACTTTTTTCTGACTATATCAGTTTTCATTCTTGAAAAGCACGATTTAACCATGCTTATTTTAAAACCATTTTAAATTTACCAATAAAACTATAAAATCATGGAATTTTGAACTACACGCAATTTTGTGGAAATAGTGATAAAATACTATCAAAATAATTTGTTTGACTATCATTAGAGTCAGCTTGTAGAGTTTAAAATGATACTGAAGCTGATAGCCTACAATAAAATACAGTATCGAAATACTGACAACATCCAATCAACCTCAGAAACATCAAGTTTGAATTACCAGTTTGCCACCAGTTTGTGAACAATTGCACATGCTAACTTCCAAATCATGTTAATTTTCGAAGAGTGATATTGCCACCTGGTAGAATTGCCACAAGAAAAATCTTGCCAATTGATTTTCCATAAACGAATGGTAGCGCTGTTTGAAATTCCACTAGAGAAGTTTGATATGCGAACTTTGTTCCCCGAATGTTGCGATTTCTTCCTCATTTCTTGACCAAAAAAGGCGTGAAACAAGTTTTACCGTATCACAATATATAATTATGACCAGATCAAGGTCAACAAACTCGTAGCATTCCAGAACGTATTACTCATCGTCCAATGTCAGTTGACTCAAAGCGAGTAAATAATCAGAAACGTTGTTTTCCCTCGAGTCTCAATGTGTCTCTTGACTTCGTCTCGGGAAAATTTTCAGACTCTTGGGAAGACAAAACTCACAATTTCCCTCGGGAGCATACATTAAGTGTGTAATATACTTGGTCTTAACACTTTTTTTAATGTTTGACATCATTTCATATCGTATTAAGGTTTGGACGTTTTAATTTTCATGTCCCAAACCTAATGTTAATAAACTACAGTCTTTGTTTAAGTTCATTTCCATTTGCTTCGGTACACATGAAAAGTTCGACGTCTGAAACAGGCCTAGACATTTTAATAGTTTTAATATTGGATTTTCTATTACTTTGAAGTGTCTAGAACAGAATTTGATTGTGTGCTATAGAAATACTTTATTATTATTATATCTATCGAAAGTTGACGATACTTCCCTCTAAACGCGATTGTCCCTACAGTATGTCACCCACAATCGAGCTGTGTTGCTCGCGCCCAGGGCCAGGGGTGAATATTTTGGTTCCGGCCGGATCGACCGATTAGGTTATACTATAACATGGCGCATGCGCATGTTGCAACAAGAACTTAGGCTCACTCCTTCCTTGGTTTTATTTAGGTATATGAAGAAAAATGGAAATACACATGACTTTTTTTCCATTTGTTGTCCTTTTTGTATCAACTGGTTGTATGATCGAAGATGATTCGTCCAAGAAAATTATTGATAAGTTCGATTCGGCTCGAAAATTGGTGGAGCAGTCAAAGAAAGGTGGCATGAGCTATGACCTGTTGTGCAGTGAGATAGAGAAGGGGGGATACGACAAGATTGCTTGCCATCTTAGTGATTTTCCTTCAGTTGGTTTACTGGTTTGCAAAGCTCCTAAATACGGGCGTCCAGCTATCTCTTGCCAGGAAAGCATTCAAAAGGAATTAAAGAATCTCATGGCACTGCAAGATAGCTACAAAATCAAAACGATTGAGTTTGATGAACAACCTATCAACGAAATAAAATGCGGAGAGAAATTTCTCATGAAGTCTAGTTCGAAAGAGAATGCATGCAGTGGTCTTTTGTTTGGATGGGTGGAGAGGGGAGTTGGAATTTTCCAGCATATTCGCGATCACGTCGCACACAAAACTGTTCGCGAGTTAATCGATAATGTCATTTCTATTACAACGAAGGAAGGGCTGAAAAAGACAACGGTTGATCTTGAGAAGATAATTACATTCATGGCAGAGGATCCGGGCGAGGTTGTCTTCAGGCAGATATGCGAACTTCAGGGATTTTTTCTCTCTGATGGAGGATTCCTGGTGAATGATCCGGTCGAGATTTTCGTAAATATCCCAATATGCGGCCGTTGTTGGAACGACAGGGATGACCCCGAACCAACAACAGCAGATGTATATTTTGCCCTACGAAAGATGGTTGCTGAATTTAAAAATGTGATCATGAACGGGCGAACTCACAAATAAATTTAAATTTCTAATCCCACAGACAGCATCAAAATGTTGCATGGGCATTATAAGTAATATTTCAAATCTAAGTTCGTGTTCTCAAAGAATCGCTTTCTTAATCCAAGTTCCATGAACAGTATTAGAGTGTAGTTCCCTGATGATTTAGGCTATGTGCACACGAGCGTCGTTTTCGAGCGTACGTTTTCAAAATCGTTTATCGCTTTGAGGCCTTGTCCCAACGATCCAAGGAAAAATATGTTCAATGTTAAATTACTGAAATTAGCTTCAACTTCCATTGCAAATTGACGTTATTTGAAATCGCTTTGGCATGAAAACGAAAAAGAAAACACTCGAAAACGTTCACGCGTCTGCATGCACATAGTCTTAATCTGATGTGCTAATATTTTTTAAGAATGATTTATTGCAATATTCTAAAATTTGCACTGAATCGTCAGGCTGTTGGCCATTGTGTTGATCATGAGAAGCTGTGGATCAAAGATTGGCCAGGGAAACAGCTAGAAACGTAACTGGTGCGGAGGGGGAAGGTAGGTGCATATTCAACATTCAGCCTTTGCCCGATTTTTTTAAAATGATTGCCCCTACGGTAAGTACACAAGAAAATCTGAAATCTTACGCATTTATATAGCCATGTATTTAGAAATAATTCCATCTAAGACACAAGCAAGGATTTGAAATGCTTGAACTAATCACGTAGACCAAAATAAGGGATCTTATAGTTGTTTAATGCAGTCAAAATGTAAAAAGAATATATTTAGAGTATATTATATTCGTTAAACACAATTAGCTATCGCGAGTTAACAGTTGTTTAAATTTAGAGACCTGCTAATATATTTACCTGTACCTTTACCAAAAAATAGCGAGAAAATGGTTTTCGCTTGTGCACTTCAACTTTTACTATAAACTGGATAAATTGAGTAATATGTAATTTTAAAATTAGGTGAATTCGTGGGATTGTGCCGACCTCTAGTTCGATAGAGCCGTTGTTTAGAAATGTTTTGATAACCAAATCTTTTAATTAAATTGGGTATTTCTGCAAAGCAGGAAATTGAAAAATAAAATCGCTCACATTCATAGGAACATTTCGATTCGGATAGTTTTAACAGCTTTCATTTTCATTTTTGCACAACGAAATATTCCGGCATTTTTTGCAAAAACACGCGATCACGGGTCGCCTAAATATGATTTGAAGTATACTATTAAATTATAGCTATCAGTATAACAATGCAAATTGTCGATTATATTATCGCCTTATTTTTAAAGCTCACATTTAAACTTTAATCAAAAACTCATGCATTGAGTGAGATATTTCCGTAATTTCGTAATTTGATTTTCTGTAAAATTTTCACTCATAAGAAAGGAATTTTCGGTCACATAGATCAGTAACAAAAGTCACATGCACCAATACAACATTAATTTGTCCCCAGAAGTGCATTTATTTTTTTACTCCAAACTAGTGAAAGCACGTAGGTTTATAGGATCACTCTTGTGCGATTTCTTAACTACATACATTCTGTGCAAGTATCGGAGATTCAATATTAAACGATAACTAGAAACCTCCTTCAGAATAATCTCGTGCAAAATGCATTTTAGCGCTAAATCATTATTTACAAAAACTCTCCTTTTTTTCCCTGTGATCTGAAATGGCGGGAAAAGAATTGGATTGATTTGTCAAATGAAAACCCATTTCTCATGTCCCTCGAAATATACATTATATCAGTTTACAATTTATGTCAGAGCTAGAGTTCTTATAACTAAACCTAATCACAAAATTTCGAAAGAAACAATAAAATATATAACCAATAGATTAAATACTGATGAATGGATTTCTATTTCCGCACCATTTCTTAGCGCTGAGTGGCTAAAACATGAGCGCGAGATCACCTGGTTGTTATCAAACAAGTATTTATATGTTTGTGAAATATATTTATGATATAGAGGCATCGCTGTTCTAATCTTTTTATCGTTATAAACCAGCCCGTTTACACTTGCAATTTTATGTGCGATTTTATTCTTTTGGTAGATGTGAACGAGTGAGCAGCCGACAAATGCTTTGATGAATAAGAGTTCTTATTTTAACGTTCGTAACTAATTCACTCGTTCACATCAAAAGAAGAAAATCGCTCATAAAATCACAGCAAAAATCGCAATTGTAAACGGGCCTTCATAGCTTGTTATAGTTATACTATATATTATATAATACACCGAAAAGCATTGATATAATTTTCGAATGTCAAAAGAGGCTTTCCAAAACCACTCCTTAAGAACTCCTTATTACTATATGTTCATCTAAAAGTCTATATCCGCTTGTTCTTGTTTTGCGACGTCTGTCTTGAAGATTTGCAATCGTGTTAAGCGTGCACTTACAAATATCATTCAGTTTAAATATAACACTTCCACCTCTGCTGGAGTAAAAGCTAGACTGCCAGCAAGGAGGGATTGTGTTTTCCTTTCACCAAAGCTATATCCAGGCGGAGCTTGATACGAAATACCTAGATTTGCGTAACTGCCGTATGTTTTTTGAGTAATAGTTTTGTCAAAAATGCTAAGATCAGGTCCAATCCCAAATTTAGGCCCGGAGTCCTTGTTTGATTCAATCGCTGTTGCCGTATTCGGATTTTTCAGAAACGACTTGAAAGGCGCGAGGTCATCGTTATTGTGAAATGAAAATAAAAAGGAGCCTGGAGCAGCCCGTGAGCCTTCGTAACCTGCCCATGTAGTTGTCGCGAATCCTCCAAAGATAAGACTCTTGCCATTTTTTACAACTTTTACAACTGTCAATGTCGGGACTTTTGAACTCCCGTCTCTTGTCGCCCGCCAGCAAACACTCCAATTCCCTGTCATCGGCAGCCATTCTGCCAAAATTTTTGTAAATTCTGGTGACTCCGCGGCCATTATGACTGAATCCAATTCATGGACTATAATTATAAAATATTGAAGGATTCTTATTAGCAAAACCACTGGCCTACGTCAACATGGAATGCTTTGTGAAAATATCAGTTTAATTATTACTTGCCTAAACATTCTGTTCCATTGTAAAAAAATCCGCGGGGACATTGACAGTCGTAGGAGCCATCAGTGTTGCTACAGTTTGCTTTGGAGTGGCAGTTGTGGGCTGCCGCTGAACACTCGTCTATATCTGAAATTATCGATATAATATAGTACAAGATAAGTTTTGTTCGCTCTTCAATGACATTATTTTGTAAAATGACATTGTGCATTGACTGTTTATTTTTGCGCAGTTATAACTACTAATATAATAATTACAAAGATAATTAGTAAAATTCTGGTCTCTGATTGGTCCAGCGACCCTTAATTATTACGCGATAAGACTCTTGGCGTTTTGACTTTTTTTTGTGGAAATCTCTTTTAGAATATTATGCGTATACAATTTGTAGATAAATTATTATTTTACGTTGTATAATATCTAATTCTATACTGTATTGTTAATGTGCTTTTATACGAACGGGCTTTCTCTTCGGAGATATAGGAACCCTGATTTTTATAATTTAATTTTGATTTCATTAATACACTGGCGGTCAAAAAGAGCTGCTCAAAACAAGTTAAAATGCTCTCAAATCAACGTAACTGTCCCTCTAACAATATATACGAGTAAATATAGACTAGATTACATGCGAAGCTATATGAAATATTAATATTTTGTCGACCCTCCTTTGGCCTTATAATTGATAACGGCCTTACACCGGCGTGGTCTACTTTCTGTTAAAGTGGTAATCTTAACAGTCAAAAGAAATTCATCCTATGGACAGTCTTTATAGCAACGCATAAATGATGGACGCTTTATGAATGAATTCCTTTCTTGCACTATTCCCTTGACATTGTCCAACAGATTTTCAAAAGGGTTAAGGTCTTTTGATTGTGCAGAACAATCCATTTCTGTCACTTCCTCTTCCTGGAACTATTATTTGACAATATCTTGGAAGTGTGGCAGGTTGCATTACATTATTGAAATATTGCTTAGAAAAAGAGAAATAACAGCTCAATAAAAGATTGATTGTCACGATTCCTGTTACATACGATAAAAGCAACATTTGAACAGTTTTTTTTTATCACCAGTGTATTATTATGATTTCATTTTTTTCCCTCAATTATACTAAACTTTCAAAAAGTGTATTAATTTCTTCTGATTATCACTCCTTAGCAAAACTGTCGGCCGACCATAGAAGGAAACATTTTAAAAGGAAACTAGAAATGCATGCATGCAGCAACCCCTCGCTATTTCAAGCCAAGTACACAATTTCCTGAGCTAACCTGACCTAAACTTATATTATAAAATGACACAAAACTGAAATTAGTCTATATTATATTTTATGTTTCCATCATTCGAAAGAAATATAATCATAAAGAGTAGTGAGTAGTGTAAACATTGGCCGTTCGAATTTGCTGCATTATGCCAGGCCAAGGCAGCAAATAAGTATAATGGTTTAAAATTGAAGTTTCAAACGATTAAACAATGCAAAATCTTCAGAGAAAAAGAAAAAACCTCAAATGTTAGGCTATTTTATTCTGTTATGCAGTCGACGGCTAAAAGTTTTATATTTATAGAATAATTTAGCGTGTATTTGTAATATCAAATTACACTTTCGAAAACACTTTTTAAAGTTAAAGTTAAAGCAAAGGTGTAACAGCCTTTCACAGTTGATTTATGCGATTGCATAAAAAGCTGAAATTTATACAAAGCTAAAAATTAATCTTTCTCTGTAATGTATCCATTTTCTTCTGTGTTATCTTCCATGCCTCATCTTGTTTCTTCTCGTTTTATTTTGCACAACGTTTATGAAACGCTTTTACAAAAGAGTTTACGAAATGACGGTTAAATTGCAGACGTTCTCATTGAAATACAAACTTTCTATCTCAGCCAATCAAAACGTTCCGCGCGTGATTCCTAATCTCCGAGCGGAATTAGTACCCTCGCGGGCGCTCCGCACCCGTTCGGGGATAATACAACAATAGAGTTGATGTTCGTGAGCATAAACATGTTTTTGGCCCGCCTCTGAACTCTGCTGCGAGGAGGGCTAAGACACCTCTAGGGTTAGAAGGCTAAGATGCCCAAGAACATCAACTGTATTACTATTATATTACCTTTTAAGGGTAATTTTTGTCTAAAAAATATGATGGGTAAAAGCTTTAGTCATTCTACTGATTGGCTTAGATCAGCGGGCTAGGATATATTCAGCCCGGCAAATTTATCCTTTTAGCCCGTCAAATACACCGCAATGCCCGCCAAAATTAATACAGCAATAAATTTCAAAAGAAAATACGTATCCGGAACGAGATTATATTAGCCCCTATGCACCTCCGCTTAACGATTTTACGCCGTCCACGGTTAGGGATAGGTTTAGGGTTAGGTTAGTAAATACAAGTTGTTAAACCTAAAGTAATGTATACATTACATTGGTAATGTAGAAAGATTTTTATGAGCTAGACGAATAATTATTTTCTATCTTCTTATAAGTAATGTTCTAACGGTGTCACAATTTTGGTGCTAAGTAAATTATATTACAATTTATAAAGTCATTCTAATCAAGTAAGGCATCCTTTTAAAATTTAAGCTAGATCGTGAGGGAAAGTAAGGAAAATAATTAAAAAGTTTAAAAAGTTATTTTCCGTAAAATGAGATTGTATTCATACACAAATGCGTTTCTGGGTCTGTATATATATATAGAAACTATAAAATCGATTTTAAATATTTTACGCACCTGTACAATTTTTTCCATTTCCTGAATACCCAGAGAGACACGTGCAGTTGTATGAACCATTCGTATTGTTACAACTTGCATTTGAGTGACATACTTTGGTAGATACATTCGAACATTCGTCAATGTCTAAAGCAGTAAATGATTTAAAAAATTTTTCAAATGATCAGTTCAAATCAATCAAAATAAAACAGTTCACATTAGGATATATTAATTTACAGGCGTCCTTAAAATGAATTTCATTGAAGGATTTAAATCTTAAAAGATTCGCTTTGGAAATTTATAACCATCGAAAAGCCTGAAAAGTGGAGACAGGTTGTTTACCTGTGCAATTCTTTCCAACCATTGCATAACCAGGAAGACAAGTGTCTAAAAAACCACAAGAAAAACAAGCTAGTTTTCTCATCCTAAATCCCAAACAAATTAAAAGCATATATAAATATTCAGGTACACAGAGTTGCAAAAAACGCTGCGGGTACGCGGGTAACACCCGTTAGAAAGGTTTGCTTTGAATGAAGTTTGTTAGGAAGGTTCAAAGTCCTTTCATTAACTTCATATCTGGAAGTTGCCTTGTCATGACGAGCTCTGTTTTCTGTGCTCTATAGATCGAGCCCGTACAATTAATAAACTACTCAGACATAGAGTTGGAATAGTTACGTTATGCTGGCTGCCACTTGACTCAGTGACGTAACGTAATTTTAAGAAAGGTTTTCAAAACTTGAAATTCTACCAAAGGAAGATTGAACTTTTTGCAACTCTGCAGGTACCCCAGCTATATATTTTTGAGAATTTTAGAAGAGTACCTGCACTTCCGTTGATATTTTCTCTCTTTCGTTTCTCATTCTTTGTCTTTTCAAAATTGATTACAACATGCAAAATTGCCGTAGTTTGAAACGAGACAAATTATTCACAAATATTAGATTATTTCTAAAATTATCTCTTTCGCTTTTTTTATAGTTTGCATAGGAAAATTTAGTTATCTTCAATATCGTCATTTGGGGTTAAACCCGAATATAGATCAAAACTCAAAAACAGAAACAACCTAAGCATTAATTTAAATCGATTTATAGTTAAATTATACTCAAAAAATTATTCCTAGAGCTTATTTACCCACAACTTGCCGATACATGCATGCGTACATTGTGGTGACAAGTGTTTTGGAAACCCCAGCAAAACACAATTCCAAACGTTATAAAGTTATAATCAGTGCCTTTTATTTCTATACGAACCCGATAATTAATGACTGAGAGGAAGTGATATCCGTTTGCCTTAAAAGAATTCCAAAAACCCCACAACGTTAACTTTGAGAAAATTTTTTGTTGTTAAAAAACGAACTTATAATTAAATTTGTCACCAATCATTTCTCAAATGCGTAAGATTTTCACGAAAGCGTAAATATTGTCGGAGAAAAGTTGGACCGGCATTAATCGGAGCAAATATATTTGTACTTCTATTTTCCTGCTAATATAGATATCATTTATCTATCAGCTTGCAATTTTAAAGCGGTTATATACATGCGCATGTGTATGTAAATACAAGCAAAGAGTCTTGGAAACCTCACCGCTTCAATATCAAGCATCAATACCCAATCTCCTGTTTTTACTTTTTCTCTTTCTTTGATTACGTTTGTCAGTTGGCAATTTTCTACATTTTTTGTTGTTCTGTAGTTGAATCCAACACATTTTTTTTCGTCTTTGCAGTGAGTGTGACATCCTAACATGACAACTGACAATGTAATATTGTGTCTTGATATTATTTCATGCGAAGGCAATGATGGACCTCCTAAAAATTTCAAGGACACTCGTTAAAACTTTGGGAACGAGAATTGAATGGGAATTTATCTGTATGATTGGAATTTAGAAACCATTTTAATCATGGAGTATTAAATAAAATTCCACGACAATATCTTTTACTAACGAGATTTTAAAGGGCACCAAAACATCTCAATGATAATAAAAATTTTAAAATGCAAAATATCGAATCTTGGATATAGGTCAGTTTACACATGACTAAATGAATTGTTAGCGTTTTTAACGAAATTTAACGTCAATAATATTTTACTAAACAACATTAAGGATGACTCGCCTGTTATGATTATGTAACTTTTTGGAAAACATTGGTTTGCAAGAACGTTTCCAATATCAATTATAAGCAAGAGCAAGATCAAGGTAGCTGCTA